TTTTTGAAGTTATATCATAGAACTTAGCCCATAGGATTAAGTGCTAATCAAGCTAAAAAAATAGAAAATGTTTGGCAGACTTTTAAAATTGAAAGTATGCAAATGGTGCTGGGAGGTGCTTTTTTTTTCTTTTCCTTTCTTCTATCTATATCATGTGTTTAATTGAACTAATACCTACCTGAACAGCAGAGGGAAAACATACAAGATCCCATAAGTATGTGTGAGAGGTTGCAAAGCGCAGCAAAGAAATGAGCCAAAATGACTTTTTAGCAAGAAGCACGTTTCTGGAGTTAGATTTCATGACACCAGCATTTGTAATGTAAATAGCAGCTGCCTTCTCTGATACGTTTCATACAGTGTATTGCATTCTGTGGTGATAGGAATAGTGCACACTGGACACAACGTGAAAGTGATGTGTTGTATGTTTGGCATTGACTTAGTTAAATATGTGGCCAAAAAAAAAAAATACTAAGAGGAGCTGAGTGGGAGTGAAGAGTTTGGGGCTTTCTTCTGCTTTTTGCAGGACATTTTAAATAATTGTGGCTGTTAAGAATCCTCCTAACATCTGAGCATTGATGTGATGAAGCATAGGATCAGCATTCCTAAGGAGTACTTCCTACGTTTGGATCTTGGAGGGCATGAGGAAACAATGTTCTGAGACCCTTTTGAGGAGAACTGTACCTCACAGCCATCCCATATTGCACTTCTCCAGTGATGGAAATAAGAAATGGGGAAAGACCTGTCTCCTCATATCAAGCCCAGGGCTGGATTAGTATGGAGTGTTCCTTCTATTGCTGTGGGCCACTAGAATTTCTACTTCTCTTTGCCTTTTGTCCCAGTTTTAGTAATAAGCACCTTTTTCTCTCTGTACCGTGTTGTCCGGTTCCCTCATTGCGATCAGTGGGGCCAACCTGCAAAAGCCACATTTCCCTCAGTTTTTAAACCATTCATCTTGTCAGCATGTCATATTCTACTTGTGTTCCTTAATGGAAATGTTGTGTGAACAGGATCAGAATTACCGTCTCCCAAGAGGAGCAGAAATGGCATTGGTTTTTCTTCAGAGTTGAACACTGGATGCTGTGCTGGAAGACGAGTAGTTCTGAACGAGGAAAGGACTGAGATAGGTGTGGCTGGCAGCTGAAATGAGTATCGGGTACGGGTGCCTAAAAATCAGCAATTAGGGAAAAAAATTATTTCCTTTTTGGCTTTGCCACTGAGTAGCTAAGAAGTACACAAATATTTTTATGTTGGCTGTAAAGCAAAGGCATTCTGGGTATGTGGAATCCATTGTGAGTGCGGAGTTGAGCAGTGCATAATAGGTTGTTGCCCTTTGGCACGTGGAAGAGGTACATGCTTAAAAGACATTCATGCTGTACTACTCTCTAATTAAGATCTCCGAAGTGTTCATAAGGAAAATATCCTTAAAGTAGTGTTCAATTTTTGTTGCTGTTTATGCTGAGTTTAGTACAGTGCATTTGTGTTTTCACACCTCCTGTGCACTGTGGTGGTTAATTGCAGTAGTTCAAGGATTTTGGTTTTTCCCCGTGCAGAAGCACTTGATTGTACAGGGGAAGGTGGTGCATTTCTGACCTGTAACATAATTTACTAAAACTCTGTTAGTTACCTGTAGTATATTGTATTTGCTGAAAGACCAGAAGAGAGCAAATTTGATAAAGAACAGTCTGAAATTGTAGTGTGTAATCTTGTAATGCAATAGGAAACAAACAAAGTAACCAATTCTTGGTTCTGGCAAAAATTTCGCCATTTAATGTGTGCTGAGATTTGTCTTTAGGATGTGAAATAATTGGAATAGAAAGTAGACTATCAGTGGCAAACCATCCGATGTAGTAAAAAATGTTCTCGCAGTATAGTTACAAGAGTAGTTGAATAGGTTAAAATACGGCTTCCCTTCAGTGCAGGGCTGCTGCCCACTCAGCTCAGCCTATTTTAATTCAAAGTGCAGCAAGCCTGTGTTAATCACAAGCAGAGCAGCTGCTCCAACCTCCACCAGCAGCAGGATGCTGAACTAGCCTGAAACTGCTCTCTGCGTTTCTGTAGTGGGAAAACCTTTCAGAGGTCAAGGAATGGGATTTAAAAAAAACAGTGAGGAAAAGGAACCGTGGATTTTTGTCAATTAGTTCCCCATCTAATGCCACTTAATGCCTTTTAAAGATGCTTAGCTTTTATCAGGAATCAGCTTTGCACCTCTAGGTTAGGATGGTGCACCCTGCCCAGCGTTGGGTGAGCAGCATTAGCATCCCAGTGCCTTGCAGTGGGCCGGCCCCCGTGCTCCAAGCCTTTATTTTGAAGAATCGATGGGCACAGAGTCGTGTTCAGGAGAGGATTTTGTCAGGCAGCTTTCAGGCAGGGCCGGTCCCTCGTTTGTGGAGCTGACGGCACAATGGTGAGCGTCGGACGTGTGGCGTGCAGGGTGGATGGGGACAGAGGCTGCTGAGATTTCCTGAGATCAGGCTGTAAATGAAGTTGTTCTGTTGGGTCACTCATCTGATTTACACGCAAGCTGTTTCTCCTGAAGCACCTGGGGCCTTTTGTTCATGCTTGTGAATAAGCCTCTTTCAGTCACCAGCAGTAATTTAGAGTCTCTGCTTCCTTCAATAGGTAACACAAGTACAGCAGTGACATTTTCCCCCACTGCGTGTGCAACTTCACTCTTCTTTTTAACCTGGGTAACAGAGTTGTATCGCTCATACGGACTTTGTTATAGACTGGAGCAGATTGAGAAGTCATCTGAGGTGTTGGTAATTATTTACTGCTTACTTCCCAGCTCTGCAATAATGCTGAGCAGTGGGAGTGCATGGGTGAGCAACAATACCCTCTGCAGGTGCAGGGACAATGGGCCCTCAGTATTTTCCTTTCTTACTGTGGCAATTGGAGAGGAAGGCATTACCTTGTAAGTGCCCAATCTGCTGCTCACAGTGACTCCATCTCACTTTAGTCACGTCTCATGGAAACTTGGAGGCAAGGCAGTCTAGCATTGCTGCTAACACAGATGTCTTCTTTTTTGCTGCCTCTCTTTCTGTGCTTTGCTCACTACAAATATTTCAAGTAAGCTCCTTCGTTTGGCCAACCTACTTCAGTGACAGTCAGCTCTTCATCGTGTGGCAAAATGTTGAGTGAGCACAGGGAATGGGGCAGCCTGGGAATAAGTGGTTGGGGTGAAACATTGATAAACCTTTATGCACAAACCAAACCATACCCCGGATTTACTCTTATCTTTTGAATCCTATGATGAGTAATGGTAAATATAAGATGCTCACCTACTGAATTTGCTTTGCATCATCAGGGATACCACGTTGCAGTTGATCTCTTTTTGTTGCCACGATGTTTTTGGAGCGCACTGATGACCAATGTAAATACGTGAAGAAATTGGTGAAAAGTGTAGATGTCTGCTTCATTTCATTTATTTGTTCATTCATTTTTAAAACTGATCATCACAACAGCTTTAATAGCAGGAGTGATGCACATTACGTCGCACAGAGAAGATTGCTGGCCTTCGAAAGGTTTTGTACGTGGGAGTGCATGTTTTCTGGGAGGCTGGGATGGCAGAGAGGGAGCATGGCTTGGGTGTTTGCTACAATACTGTGCTTTTTTTTTTTTTGTCTTCAGGGAGGGCATTATCTTGTGAGGTGTAACGCTATAAAGCGCTCAAGTTCTTGAGTTGCAGTATCTTGGTGAAGAGGTTTTAAAAAAGAAAATGAGATGGAGAATTTATTTTAAGTCCCATAAATTTGTAGAAACACATTTGTATAGGTTATGCTCCTCAGTGGTCTTTCAATAACTATTTCTGGAACAGCAGCATGAATTGCAACAAAATGCACCAGAGGATGTGGTGATAGGGTTAGTTTCTCTGTGGCTGTCTATGCAGTGCCAAATTACGTATGTTGGTGATCACCATTCTGCTCAATCCAAGATGGGTTGCACTGCTTCTACATAGTAAACTAGTGCAAGATTTTCTAGCCCTCTTCAGAGCAAGAAATGGTTGCTCAAAAGGCAGCTGTCATTTCATACCCATTCCAGCTGCCCTTCCCACTCAGATTTCCTCCCCTCCCCCTTAAAAAAAAAAAAAAAAAAGGGCAGGAGGGTTACAAAAAAGAAGGGTGCTAGGATCTGAAATCTCAACATCTAATCTGTCACATCCTATAGATTTCATAGCTAGCTGCCCATTTAAAATAGACTTGCCTTTTTTTTTTTTTTTTTCCTTTCTTAAGAGTAATTAGACAAATGTAGCAGTACTTGTGGCATCAAAAACTGTGTGGCTGGTAAAGGCATTAGCTATTATAATGTATCCTGAAATCTAATAGCAGTGATTTTAAATGAACAAGCAGTTGCCTGTATTTTGGCAAGCGGTGGCTTTAACTATACAAAATGGCTAGCATTTTCCTTGACTCCTTTGGAGCCTTGGCTCCTTTTTTTTGTATTTGTGCTTTGACAAACAGAATGTCTTTGTGGTAATAGCAGTATTTTATTTAATGACTAACAAGGCAAGCAGAAACATGAAACTCTTATAAGTATCACCAAGTTCCTGTTCACCTTGGCTTGCAGGTTTCTTCTTCTAAACCCAAACATATGAATCCTTTTTTTCCCTGCCAGCATTTCATTTAAAGTTGTTGATTGCTTTTCTGCATCCCTTGCAAAACTGCTTGTGTTTTGTTGTGCCTGGAATGTGGCTATGGATGGGGAAGAGGTCTGATTAATTGGAAAGAAACTTTATTAGCACAAAAGCTCTCATGTTAGTGTTAGAAAAATGATCAAAAATTATTTTCCTGGTCCGTAGTACCTTTTTTTCCTTGCTATTCTGCCATTGTAGAGCTGCTCTGAAGGAAGAGTCTCATCAGCAGTTTGTGTTCTCTTAAAGGTGTCTCAGTCTTTAAGGCTAGTTTCAGTTGTGTTGATGCCGTTTGGCTACGCCTTGAAAGTTCCTGTAATCTGTGCCATCCTGTCTCATACGGTCCCATCTCATAGTTGTCCTTTCTCTGCAGTGCTCTATGCCCAGATCTCTGTGGCTGGGCTGCTCCAGCCTGGCGGACAGCATGCCCTCGCTGCGATGCCTGTATAACCCAGGGACTGGCGCACTCCCAGCTTTCCAGGTACTTTCCGTCTCTCCGCTCTTTTCTCTCCATCCATGTCTGTGTGCATCTGCTTCTTTTCTTTGTTTGCTTTACTTCCATTTACTCTGCTTCATGCTGTATGCCTTTCCCGTGCCATTCAGAGCTCCTCCAGTATTTAAACCCATCTTGTGTAGTTGCAGGGCGGCTCAGTACTGGGGCATTTCCATCGCTTTGGTTTAACTTCATTATTTTGCCTGCATTGGCTCGGTACCATCATCATTTCCATCAGGTTCTAGTTGTGTCAAAAGTATACCACTCAATTCTGTTTTGCAAACAGTATCCATTGTACAGTCTCTGATCCTAGAATCATCAAGGTTGGAAAAGGCCCCCAGGATCGTTAAGTCTGACAGTGATTTCCTTCATGTCTAAATTTTCCATGTGCCATTTGGAGGACTGAGGGCTGTGTTCATTGCTAGCTGTGTACAGTGCTAGCTGATGCCTGCCTTTGGTTACTTCACATATGGTAGCAGTAGTGTGGACACTTTGGCTTTAGAAAATTACTGTACAAGTAAGTTGTCAGTCAGATGGCAAGTCAAGGTGCCTGGTTTTCTTTGGACTCTGAGTTAGTGAGGTTCAAGCTTTTCTCTGTCATCAGACGGCTTTCTGCTGAACAGGATTTGTTCAGGTGTTTTAGATGGCCAGTGAAGCTTACAGAATTCAGCCACTCTTCCATGGGGAGAGAGTGAGGCAGCTGCTATGTTGGTGGCTAGAAACCTATCCAGAACTTTCAGGATCATTGTAAGCATTTAATGATGGCATGTGGGTGTAAACCGGAGAGGAGCAGGGGCTGGGCTGCAGAGATGTTCTGTCTGAGTTGTATATTCCTTCTGAGATGGTTCTGTGTGAACTGCAGTGAGAGAGGGACTTTAGAAGTAAGTTTGCGGCTCATGGTAGCAAAAAGCTTAAAAGCTTGTTTCAAGGCTTATGCTGCAGCATTTGTTGTCCTAACCTGTGGCAGAGAGTTTTATTCACCGGCATCTTGCAAAACCAGACAACAAACAGACTAGAATCTTTCTGAAAACTTCAGAATCATCTTGATGGATGTTTATCTGCCTCTAAAGGATTGCGTGCAGAGATTATTTCGCATTTGGCTTCCTGCTCCCAGGACTAGGAGAGCACTGTGGAAATAATCGTCTCGGTCTCAGGGGAGGCTTAAGTGTCTTGCATCATTTTGCTGCAACTCTTTTTGCTGAGCCAGCAGCAGCACTGCTGGACTCTGGAAGGTGTCCTGCCAGCCCTCCTTTGCTGAAGCAAGCTTTTAGCAGAGCTTTCTGTGGGGGAGGGGGAAGAAGACTTTTTATTAGTCTAAGAGGACTCTGGAGACAACGGGCAGAATTTAGTATCCTACTTCTAATCCTGATTTGCATAATTTGACTAAATCGGATGGGCCTCATTTTTGGGCTATCTGCTGTTGTATAAATCTCTGATCTCTTTAAGCTCAGGTTTTAGAGAACCTTAGCAGTATATTGAAAACAATTTATAAACTCAGATTGTGACTTTCTTTCTACTTGAGTTACTTTTGATTACTCACAATAAGCATATATTGAAAAGGGAAAGGGAAGCTCAAGATGTTACTGATGGATATGAACAGTAACTTTTCTGCTAATACAGCATGTTCTTGATATTTGGGATCAGATGAGTCAGCAGCTGAACCATATACCATGTAGTGCCTTCTTGGAAGTGCAGGAGGGCTCTTGGCATTCACATTCCTGCTGATTTGGTGAGACATTTCCATGGATATTTAGTGACTATGGGAACTGGGGAAGCCTGCCCCACTTGTTGTCAAAAGAGGTATACTAGTAGTCTTTGTAGCACTCTGACTAAATGTTGAGGAACTCACTTAGTGCCAGTTGAGAAACTAAATGCCAGCAACAGCTTCTGCAGCAATGAGTCACCCGTTCTGCAGCCCATTTTTCAATGGACTTTGATTCCCATTAACTTGCATGCTCTGATGAGAGCTCTCCTGTGGGAGGTATGGCTTCAACATTTTCAAGTGTGGTGGTCTACATGGGAGTGGTTTGAAGCCTGCTTGAAACTGCGAGGTTGGAATATTTCATCTTTTCTTAATGTCTGCTTTAGTATTAAATCTGCAGGAAAGCATTAAAGGCTTTTCTTGTAGCCCAGCCATTTTTCTCATATTATTTTATTTTTTCCCTAGCAAGCTCGTAGTAACTGGAGAAGCATATCAATGTTCTTTGCTTGTGGCAAAAGAGAAGGTGCCATCTGGAAGGCCACTTAGTCACTGCTGAATTTGTCTGGTTATTTACATGCTTACCTTCAGATGCTCAGACAGAAATGTGGAAACAGGCTCTTTTTGAATAGCTCAGTTGAAGCCCCGCTGACTCCTCATGGGAAACATTGGCAGATAGTCGATTTAGAGATGATTCTGTTAATACGTCAGATAACTTCATTTTTCTTCTTTGTGTGTTTTTATTATTGGAGACACTTGTGTGAAAACAAGATCTTCTGGTTCCTCAGCTCTGTTTGGCAATCGTCTCGCAGTGGGAAAGGTTTTAAGGCTAAACCCAGGAATGAGGGATTACGGAGCTAGAAACAGTTTTTGTTTTTTTAACATCTTTTATCTCGAAAGACTTTGCAACTGATAGTCTGTCTAACTGAATTTCATAGAGATCATGGTGAAAGAAGGCAGCAAATTGGAACACGAACTCCAAAAGGCTGTTTTAGAAAAGGGCCAGACATTTCATTTTCAGCGTTGTGGATGCCAAATTTTACTGCAGAGCAACTGAAAACTAGGTTGCAAGTAGATTCCTCTAATAAAAATAAACTTGTGTAGAATGTATTTTCTCCTAGAAATTCATGTTTTTGAAGTTTCCAGAAGTGCCAACCAGTACTGGTTTTCATGACATTTTTATTTGAAGGTGATTACTTTCCCTTTTTGCAGTACTTACCATGCATGCTTACAGGGCTCAGTTTGTGTTGCCTTTAATAGTCACAGTTCTTTGAAAATTCTGATTTACAATTACATCCATCAGCTACGCCAAGGGAATGACTGCATTAAGCCTTCCAGGTTTGCAGAAGATCATAATACGTCTTTGAATTTATTTCTGTAGGCTATTGTATGGATGAAGTCGCTTAAGGAGCAGTTTTAAATTCTTGTCAAAGGTTGTGCATTGGGGTGATCACAGGAAAAAGTCTCTGTCTTACTTCTTACCCAACTGACACCCCTTACAAATATTAGTTCCAGTGTGGATGTAAACTTTATGGGATAAGAGTAATGCATTAATGAATTGATCATCAAGCTGGGTGCAGCTATTTGTTTTGCAGAAGTGAGGTGTCCTCCTTGTTGGCAGAAAGGTCTGTCCTGGTTGAGGAAGGAAGGCATGGGCACCCCATGCTGGTCACATTGATGTAAGCAGGAGCACACCTGAGGTTCTGCAGTACCAACGTGATTTCCACTGCTCCTTTTCTTTGGAATGAAATCACTTTTGCAGAAAGGCAGGAATGTCTAAGATGTAAACAGCATGGAGTAATGGAATCCTCTTTCACCCATGGGGAAGAGATGAACTAGTTTGTCATGTGATTTTTACATTGATTTTTTTTTTTTCCCCTTTAGGAAGTGGAATATTTGTTAAAGAGGTCGGTAAATTAGAAACAATAGTCTTTGTAAATTCCCTTCAGACTCTCATTTTACCATAAAAGTTGATGTTTTGTTGCTGAGAATCATAGAATCCATCATTAAGGTTGGGGAAGACCAGTAAGATCATTCAGTCCTACCATCCACCCACCCCACCTTGCCAACCAAACCACATCCCTCCGTGGTTCTCTGACGCCTCCCAGGATGGAGACTCCCTGGCAGCCCATTCCAGTGCCTGATCACTCTTTCTGGGAAGGATTTTTACCTAATATCCAACCTGAAATACAGAGTAAGTGTGAAGAGTAGTCCATTATTTATGGTTTTCCTGGATATTTAAGCCAAAGTCTTGAGGTGGGCAAGCTGTGCATAGGCAGGAATGTGTTCACATGAAATGCATTTGAAGGAAGTGGTTTGGCTTTGAAGAAGACTTGTGTTGGTAGGTGTAGGTGGGGAGGGGGATAGCTGTCCAGCCTGCAGCCCCAGCCCAGAGAAGTGAGTTCCCAGAGGCTGCATGGAACGTGCCTGGGGGCTGTTTGCAGGGAGCCCCTACAACTGAATCCCAGTTCTGGTGGCTGATAGCTGGAGCAGCTGGCTGTGGAACCCCCGGCTGGCGGCAGCTCGCCCCCGTTTATGGACGTAGTTAGGTGGCCCCCAACTGTTTACAAGACAGCAGAGGTGAGGCCTTTGATTGACAAGTCAGAAATGCATTAGATCATTCCCTCTGCCAGTCTCTGGTTCATGCTGTTAAAAATGTCAGCCTCTCCAAGTTTGAATGGCAGCCCGAGGGCCTCCGAAGCTTTTTGTTTTCTGAGATGGAAACACAAATTGGATGTGTGCCTGAGCGCTTCATCCTGGGCTGTAATTTCATCTTTTAGCTAAGAACCACAAGGTACATGAGCAAAGCACCCTGTAAACAATAACACCGGGGAAAAAAATAAACAAGGTCGTGTTTCTGGTACGTTGATCCACCGGTGTCCTGACCTCTATCACGTTGAACATCTCCACTCTGATTGCTGTTCCCTTTGGCATTACAATGAGAGGAGAGAGACTGACACAGAGGCAGAGATTTAAAGTTGCAGTGTTGTTGCACATTCCTCGTATTGGCTATGAAATATTGAACTGCCACAATGTGACACCTGGGTTTTTAAGCAAAGTTTCTCGTTGTGGGGCATCGGTTTCTCGTGTTTCTCCTCGTCGCCTGGCAGGAGCAATTATAAAGGCACGAGAAGGGGGAAGGGAAGGAGCAGAAGCGTAGCCAAATGAGTACGCTGATTTCTATTGATTGATTGATTGATTGCGCTGGACTCCATCCTGTGCTGAGCAGGGGATGAGTTCAGGGCACGCTGTGGCCGAGCAGCCCGGCTCTGCGCCCTCAGCAAGGATC